TAAAAAAATAAAAATAAAGTAGTCCCCCATTTTTCTCTCTATGTTAAATAAATAAAATCTTAAAAAAAAAATAAAAATAAAGTAGTCCCCCAGGGGCACCTGAGTGGCTCAGTCGGTTAAGCATCTGACTTCAGCTCAGGTCATGATCTCAGAGTCCTGGGATTAAGCCCCCCGTCAGGCTCCCCTCTTGGCAAGGAGTCTGCTTGTTTCTCTCCCTCTTCCTCTGCCCCTCCCCCTGCTTATGTTCTCTCTGTCTCTCAAAGAAATAAATAAAAACCTTTATAAAGATAAATAAATAGGGGTGCCTGGGTGGCTCAGTCGTTAAGCATCTGCCTTCGGCTCAGGTCATGATCCCAGGGTCCTGGGATCGAGCCCCGCATTTGGCTCCCTGCCCAGCGGGAAGCTTGCTTCTCCCTCTCCCACTCCCCCTGCTTGTGTTCCCTCTCTCGCTATGTCTCTCTATGTCAAATAAATAAATAAAAATCTTTTTTAAATATATAAATAAATAAATAAATATAAAGTGGTCCCTCAGTTCCTTGTAATCTTTACTGCAGCACCCCATTTTTTTCATTGCCTTTATACATCATTTTTATTATCACCACAAGTCATTGTTTTGCGCACTTATTTGGTTATTTTTCTTTTTGCTCTTTTTTGCTAGAATATAAGATCCATACAGCGGGGTTCATGTCAAAGGCTCATGTCTCCATGTTGACAGTTGTATCCCCAGCATCTAACACAATACCTGACTCCTGCTAGGCATTCATGAATGAAAAGATATTGAATGAATGAATGAATGAATGGGTATGCGATTATTTATACTTGGTAGGAACGACAGCTCTCCACCGACCATATGAAAAACATATCTCAACATACCCACATTTTAATGAAGTGGTGAAGGATCTCAGAGAAACCTATTCTGCATCGTGAGACATTAGACTTTCTTCTTTCCTCTGCCTGCATCCCTTACCTCTGCCCCACCAAGAACTCCCAGGACCTCACACTGAGAAGTATTTTCCATGCCTTTGAAGCATCTTGCTCCTGGATATGTACTTGTGACTAGTCTTGATTGATCACCTCACACAATGGGCCTGAGATTGGTTGTTTCCCTCAGTCTTTGCCAACACGATTTGTTTCATGCACAACATACTCTGGCCACCTGAGAAGAGATCAGGAACTAGATTTTTATTTCCTCTTGGTTCCACTGCAACAGAGGAACTCCTGTGTGTCACAGCAGCTGTGTTCTCATGTTCTCATGAAGTTGTATGTTCTGTGGTCAAAATGGGGTCATTGGAAGGAAATCCAACATTCAGAGCAACCGTCTGTGAACTGAAATGCTCAGCCAACCCTTCTTAAACGGTTATAAAAGTCATTGTGCAGGTATAATTTTTTAACCTGTTGTCTTCAGTGACACCATTTTGAAATCTCTTCTTGTACCTAGATCACTTGACTGCTCAGATCATTGTTTTTTCAACATTGACTAAAATGTAGTAGGAAGTGACTTGAGCTTCAGGATGATGAAGTGTTGGTAATGATGGTGATGGTTGATGGTGGTGATGGCGGTGATGGTGGTGATGATGATGATGACAGTGATAATACCTGATACTTACAGATAGTCTGGCAATTTATTTATTTGTTTTTAAAGATTTTATTTACTTATTTACTTGGGAGAGAGAAAGAAAAACAGCATGAGAGGGAAGAGGGTCAGAGGGAGAAGCAGGCTCCCCACTGAGCCAGGAGCCCGATGTGGGACTCCATCCCAGGATTCTGGGATCATGACCTGGGGATCATGACCTGAGCTGAAAGCAGTCGCTTAACCAACTGAGCCACGCAGGCACCCCTAATCTGGCAATTTACAAAGCAATTTTCATACCAGCATATGCCTCTCATCTCACTTTTACCATGTCCTTGAAAGGTAGGAAGGTGGGGCACCTGGGTGGCTCAATCATTAAGCGTCTGCCTTTGGCTCAGGTCATGATCCCAGGGTCCTGGGATCGAGCCCCACATGGGCTCCCTGCTCGGCGGGAAGCCTGCTTCTCCCTCTCTCACTCCCCCCTGCTTGTGTTCCCTCTCTTGCTGTGTCTCGCTGTCAAATAAATAAATAAAATCTTAAAAAAAAAAAAAAAAAGAAAGGTAGGAAGGTGCCAGCCCATGATTTGACTGAGAAGTCCAGCTCAAATCTGTGGTTTCCAGTTCAGTGCTCTGTCTGACTTAACTCTGAATAACACTAGTTTTTGCATAATTGCTGATTTCTGTGGCCAGCAACTTGAAAACTTAAATGGTTCTTGGTCCATCAGGGCCATTTCTGATTTAGCCACTGCTCCTTTGATGGTCCAAACCATCCTCCTGTCCTACCTGATTTTTATGCTCCTTCATTTCATTCATCATTTCATTCTTTTTTATTAGATTCACTTTAAGGAGACCAAAAAATAGTCTCCTTACAGCCTTCTAACTTACCACAGTTAGTGGAACCATTTTGTAATGAATATGCCCAAACTGCCAAACAACTGATTATAGAAACATACCCCTTGATTTCAAATGGGTTTGCATTCTCTCTTCTTAATTTCTAAGACCTTTTTGTTAATGCCATTACATTTTATAAACTTAAATTAACATGGAGAGATCCAAAATATATTGCCACGTTAGTCAACATCTACATAGTTTATTCCAGAACCTGAGTAATTTAAAATCACTATAATATCAGCAGTCTTTAAAATACAGCATATGCCTTATGTTTGATTTATGTATTGGATAGAAAGTTTGCACATCTGCATTTGGCAGGCTAGCACCAGCTACTATTAATCTTTCTAGGAAGCATATAAATATATTTGTTTCTGCCATATATTAGTTTTTGGAACTCGGGCTGACATTTTAATCATCACTCCTGTGTGGTGGGGGTGTAAATGAGGAGGTTTGGTGAAGCAGCAAAGACAGCATCTAGGTTGAATGAGAAAGTAAATGGCCACTTCACTGATTCTTTCTAATGAATCTCATTTCTGTCAAAGCTGCTAGTAAGCAGATTGATAAACTCATGATTTTTATGAGTCTTGGGAATTCAAATCTTGAGGATGAGGCTTTTGATGCTTTAAAGAACTGGCCTTTTTTACTTTGGGACAGAACTAGCTACATTTATATTTTATTTTAATTCTCAATCTCCTCATTTTTGATATCCGTTCTTGTCAAGATGGGGGACATTTTGATTTCTGGCGTTCTTTATTTTCCCAAGCTGGAAATCAAGCAGAGGTTAGAATATTTGTAAATTTCTGGGATTAAATAGTTTCCTGAATCAGGCATGGAGTTGGTGGGGGTACCCATCCACATGCCCTGGCAGCTGGGACCATTACTGATTTATTTACATGGAAACATGCCCTTGTCTACTGGTCTGTCAGTCACATTGTTCATGGGGCAGTGCCTTCTTCCTGGGCCTGGCTCCGCATCTTCCCATGGCACTTCCTTTCATCTTCTTCCCTCTGCCATGCTGTCAGGAGAATGCCTTTTGTTTATTTTATTTTTACATAGTATTTGCATTCAGAGAGCCTGTTGCCTGACACCAGTGCAAATCTAGAGATTTTTTTTGAGGTGTTGGAAAATTATGCTAGAAGGTGATTACTATTTAAAAAAAAAAATAGTGTTTTTTTTTTTTACTTACAGAAGATAATTTGTCCCATGAAAGTTTTTGTTTCGTTTTTGCTTTGCTTTTTTTTTTTTTTTAAGGGATATTATATGTAACATAACTTCGTGCCTCTGTGTGTATTTTGTGTATTTGGTAAATTCACACCAGTTATTAGGTGGGACACTCTTTAAGAGGTAATATTGGGTTGAGTCAGAATACTGTGTTTCAAGATTTGGCAAAACTTTAAAAAAGTGGAGAACATGTTTTGCTTTTGAGAGAAAGCATGTATTGAAAAGAAGGCTGAACTGGGGGTGTCAGGAGGCCACCACTGGTCCCACCTCTGCTCTTAGTTGCTCTACCCCTCTATCCAGGTTACTGCTCCCGCCTGGAGACTCATTTCTTTATCAACAAATTGGATGTTTTGAACTAGATCATCCTTAGAGCGACCTTTTTTGGCTCTACCTTTATGCACAAAATGATGTCATTGATGTGTTAAAAAAACAAAATTCAACTGAGTACATTTTATAGATTTTACTGGCTCTTTTTAGTGAT